TAATACACAGACCAGTGTGCAGATATTGTCTTCATTAGTACTGAAATTTAAAATAACGTTTAATATTTTCTTTGTGTTAAAGATAACAGTTTGTCTTGAAGTTATATTTGATATAAGGTTTATTCCATGTTGGGACAGTGTGAGGCAGGGCAGTGATGCACAGAAACACTATGAGAGAGGACTGAGAACACATCCATTGGGGACACCAAGGATGAGCAGAAAGGGTGACCAATCCTGAGATGTTGGGGTTTATGATACATGATCTGTATAGTTGTGCATAGTTGTGCAGGTCAATCAGGGGTCTCCTCCCACCAAGTCTTTGTTGTCACTGTGACCAAACTGTAGGATTCAGAGATGCAGCGATGCAGAAACCAAGGCCTATATCAATATGGGATGCCAATATTGTAGTTAAAGGTATAGGGCAGGATTTACCTGTATTTTAGAAAAGACCCGCCCTCTCCACTTACAAAGAAAATACACATGCACACCCCATACCTGTTCCTGAGAGGGAATGCCTAGGAAATGTGTGCGAGAGCGTGCACAAGAGCGTGCACTGTTTAAAAGTTGCTGTTTGCATCGCTCATTAAAGCTTACCTTCCAGAAGATTTGCAATTTTTCCACTATGTCAGGATCACCACCAGTTAGTGAAAATATGGAGGAGCATGTAGGACATCCTTACGTAAACATATCACCAGAATGATTGACAATCAGGAGGACCACTTATTTTGATGATCCACCTGGAAAAAGAAGATTCTCTCCTATACCTTGAATGCTGATATTTATAGATGTCATACATCCCATGTTTCCTTACCTTTTGGACACAATAAAAAAACCAACATTGCTGATATTGCTTCTCTGGCCCAATTAAGCATCTTCAATCCTTTCCTTCATCACTTTAACATCAGATTACTAAACAACCAGCATACGACCGCTCCTCTCCCACTCCTGCAACAAAAACAGCAACTAGATGGAAACAAGTTCTTAATATCAGCCCCGTTAAACTTATCAGATCGATACTGATACATATTGACCAATATGGATATTATAAGTCTGATATATCTTGCATCCCTGGTAGAAATGTTTGCTTGTAGCTACAGACTGTATTATCCACAGTAAAGAGTCAGAGTCTGGTTCTCTGGGCACA